CCGCTGAAATATAATCCTCTTCTGCTTCAACATCCTCATTCGCATCTGATTTATTAGCTCTTTTCCCTCTTGGAGGCATTTTAATAGTTGTAGAATTTGTTCAAAGATTTGAAAATGTAGAAGATGTGAAAAATCGTAGAACAGACAAGAGGAGCAGTAAAGACGTCTGCTCTCGCTTCAATCTTGCTGATTGATAGGGGATCAAATACTATTTCATTCATGAAAATGCAAATTACTTTTTTTTGTAATGCATTTTTCTGGATTTTTTTGTTATTGTTGTGTCTCTCACTGTTCACATAAACCTACCATTGAAATTGTAGACTGATCATTTCTTTGTTAGTGGGCAAACTTACAAAATCAGCTGGGGTTCAAATAATTTTTTCCCTGACTGTATGTGAGTATGCTCATGCATGTTTATTTTCATAACACTGTTGTGCTGTTGAATGTGCAGGATTGCCATGGAGATGTCTGCAGCTTTAATAGATGCAACATCAGAAAAATCTTCTTACAAAGCCATTATGTATTCACAGACCCCACTGAGGCACACGCTATCAATTGCTGTCCACACTGAGCCCAGACTAATACATAACCTGATGACAGCACAGTGGATCAGCATTGTCACTGTCATCTGGGAATTTTATGAGTCATTGGCCTAGGTATGAATAGTTCAGAGTTTACAGATGTGAGCTGTGTGGTGTAGTGGTATGTTTGCTACTCTGATACTGTTGAGGATTAGCAACATGATTTTCTTGATAATGTTGAGGTAGGTGTATTTTTTTCAGTGTCAGTATAATAACCAAGCATCCACTTATTCCGGGGTATGAAAAATGTTATGATACTTGAATTGCAGCCTCTTTAACTGTGATGTTCCCATCAAGGTTGCTCTGATCACTATTTTTATGTCAACAATGGAAGAACTGACTACATCAACTGTAGTAACAAGCCCACAAAGAGCTATCACACAGCTTTGCACTTCCCTCTTCTCTGTGGAGCATTTAGCCTCTTTTGGCTTTTTTTTCCACCTGCAAATTGACTGTTTTTGTTTTAATATACAATTCTCATCAGCATCATTTAGACACAGCAGGCAGGTGGTTTTAGGTCAAAGGCTCTGATAAACCAACTGTACAGTACACCAACTACCTAGCAAGAAACTAAAAACAAAGTCAGCAACTTCCCAGTGAACATAGTGCAGCATTTGGTAACCACAACAAAAATAAATGGACGATCAGTGACTGTGTCTGAAAACACTCCCTCCTTCATCCATTCATTCATTCACTACTTCCTATTCTTCACTCAGCAGTGAGCTATAAATTCAGATTTTCAGACACTTAATAATCACCTTCATTTTGCATAAACACCACAGCTGTACAGCCACAGAACATTAATTTTCTCATTGGTAAAACACATAGCATTGCATTGTGGATTGTTAGCAGAAAGTGTCTACAGCATTAACATGATTTCGTCACGTTTCACTTTGGAATTTTTCTGTGCATTAAATAGTGAACAGACTCACACCCTCAGCATTCGGTGTGTAGTGAGTGATACTGGATACAGCCAATACTGACCTTACATTTGTCTGATGACCAGAAAGCAACTATAAATGAATGCTAACAGTGCTCTGTTATTTGGTAGGTGTATAAACAGGCAGCCCTTTGTTAGCATGTTCCTAATAGCAACTGACGATCATAGGTTAGTGTTGTATTTTACAGTGGCCAAAAATCAAAGCATGCAAGTGCATTTAACTAAAACCATGATCCTTCCCTAACCTTAACCAAAGTGCTTTTGCTGCCTAAAACAAACCACAGACGAGACAGCGCATGTGAAACCTGGTATGCCATCCACCCCAGCCATCTCTTGGTGGCTCTGCTGCTATTAATAAATGTAGCAATTCATCCATTCAGGAAAAACGCATTGCCTCTGAATGTAGGCCAGCCAGTGATTACACTGTAACCACAATGTCATTGGCAAAGCATTTAATAATACATGAATGTAATTTATGTCAGACAGGTTTGATATTATTCATCTGCTTGTGCCAATGCTTAACTGAAGCTGTCATGTTTATGCTAAGGAAAATATTAACCCCAAAGATGTCATTTTTGTGGGTGCATTCCTCAAGAACTCTCTTTAATGAGCATCACCCTGCACTTCAGGGTGAATTGTTCGGTATCTCTGGAAAATGTCGAGCTGTATAACATGCATTTGTTTCTCAATTTGAGCACTGAGAAATATTTGTACCTTTTTAGGCAACATCAAAGATAACATATTCTCTTCAGCTATGTGTCCAAATCACAAAACAAAAATCTTTGTTGTGTGGGTCCAAAATATTTGTGTTAGCTTTAATTTTTTCAAAACGTTTTGACAGTAAAGATGGTACGGTAGCATACCCTCTCACATGTCCCCTGAGAACAAGGCCTACATTAGATTAAGGATAAGTTAGGACTAGATGTGGTATTAGAAAAAAATATGTAGTGCGCACCTGCCCGACTTCATTTACAGGTGTCGACTGATTCTCTCACTGGACAGTCACAGGGACTGACCAAGTGACCTTAACCTTCCGCACCCTATTGCCACATCCACATACACACACACACACACACACACACACACACACAAACCTACCCCCAGGAGATGGTGGGGCAATACAAAGACAAGCATTATTCTTCTACCCCCCTTAAAATCAAATCACTGGGACACAAGAGAGAGAGAAGGGAAATTTCAATTTTCTTTCAATTTTTCACATAATTTCATCAAATTATTTTACTGCTTTTCTGTTGTTTTTTTTACACAGACATGTTAATTTAACACACATCAGCTTAAATCTGATACCGAAGCTTATGGAAATTCACAGTCTCTGTGACAGACCAGTATATTAGACTGTGTTTTGTTCAGTTATGAATCTATTAGAAAACAACTTGATGTTTTAAATTTGAATATTAGCGGTACATGTATAACTATAATGCATCGCTTTGGATTTGGATTCAACAGTCTGCCCCAGTGAAAGTGAAGGGTTTAAAACAATGCACCAATCTCTCTTAAGCCTTACTGGCCTGGTTGAGTTAGTACTGGACAAACAGGGAATATTCCCATAAGGAAAGAGCCCACACTGTGTTTGCATTGCTTTCCTCAGCACAGTGACTCATGGAAGACCAGAAGCCACAGCAAGGAGCAGCACTGAACTCATGTGTACTGTTCTCCCTAAATATCATCACACTAGTTAGACATATGAGGCATCAGCCCCCCTTACAATGCTCTGTTCAGAGGCCACAGTTCACTAAACCTGGGCAGCTATGGCAAAGTCTCTGTATTAATTTATCACCAAAAAACTCACTAAGGCTCTGGTGACAAATAAAACAGCGACTGATGAGCAAGATATAATTATTTGCTTAATGTGATGAAATACTTTAAAAGGAAAACAATCCTGAATCCTCTCATAGTTTTTAATATGCACATATTCAGTTTGGCTATGTTTCTCTTATTGTATATTATAACTACACAAACAACATGGCATTTGGGCTCTGTGGGGAAAGGTACCCATGCCACTTTGTCATGACACTGTGCCTCAAGCTTTTGTGGTGCTATCTCCCTCTAGAGGTGACAAGATGAGATGTTGCTGCTTTTGCTGATTTCTCTCTCAACGTCAAGGTGTCACTTCCACTAAATTGGGTAGGGAAAAAAGTGAGGAACCCTTCTCCATTGCTTCCCTTAAATAACCTATAAACAAAATATGACATGACATTTTCTCTAAATTGAAAATAAATATGCAGACTTATTGCAGGTTAACATTATTCAAACTAACTTTATATCTTTTTAGATAGACATTCAAATATATCCTGGAAAAGCCAGTGTCCTACTAGAGTAACTTTAAAGTCAATATTTGTGTGTACTGTGAATTACTGAATTGTATAAACGATCATTTCAGTCAGAATAAGAACTGACTTTAAAAATACCCACATCTCTCTCACTTGTGTTCATACAAAACCTTTAGGGAAAAAGACCAAATAACATCTTTGTTGACATTTACTGTCAGGATTGATGTAGGCTATCAGAGTGTCAAACCAAATAATTTTTTTCTTTTTCATGTAGGTAGCTGGTTATTATGAATTTGGCTTGTGTGAATAAATGATTTTCTGTTAGCTTTATTAAACCGTTTGTTTTTTCAAATGAATAACACGTTTGTCAGTTTAAACACAGAAAATGAGGTCCACTGGTCACAGCTGAATCATATCATGAGTTTGTTCGATTCAGATCCTGTTTAAGATGATTTAAAGCATCACATGGAAGCATGACTATCCAGACATTAAGAAGCTATAGTACACCTTTCTAAGCCCTTACTGAAATAACTTCAATAGGTTACCTCTCTCTCCCTCCCTCTCTCTCTGACGCGGGGGGCTTGTCCTCTAAATAAACTTTGGAGCTCATATGGCCAGAGAGAGACGAAGACACAGCAGAGGGCTGAAATCATCAGCGGGCCGACAGGAAGGGAGTGAATTGGTCCTGCACGCAACGCAGAAAAGCGCTGAAACTGCGAAGTTTTACTTTGGCTGCCTTCTGCCGACAACGAGCTCGAGGAGGTGTGTGTTTGACAGCCAGAGGAGCAACAAAACACTTTCGACTTAGAAAGTGATTTTGCTATTCGTGTTGGCCCTCTAAAATTAAAAGCCATCATTCTACTTTTTGTGCTTGATGCTGACGTGAAGCCGAGACCCTCGGCGCGCCTGGCACATTAGGGTATCCACACACCGGGACACATCACACACCAGGAGAAGAGGAGAAAGGTCAACGTGGAGTTCTACAAAATGGATATAAGATCTCAAACTTTTTGAGGGTCGTGTCAATCATAACTAATCCGTCTTACTAACACTGATTGTTTCTGCGTCCTGCGCGCAACGGATGAAAATCGAGCTGGTGGTGTTGGTGCGTTTTTTGGAGGGAATGCTTTTTATCAGAGCGCGGATAAATCCCTGACCCAGTCTGGCTTTTTGGCACATATGAAGATCATATCCAGGATGTTACAGTCTAAGCGGCCCAGGCATCATTGGGCCACCGTACACTATCATCACCACATATCACCACATAGCTGGGGTTCCTGCTGTATCTAGGAATTATCCACCTTCCAACCTCTGCCTGCGCCTGGAGACAGATAACGGAATCTTATCCAAGAAGTGTTTTGGTGAACATTGACATTGGCTTTACGAGCATCATCTCTGGGCTACTATGCAATTACAACTGATCTCCTTTGTTTTGATCATCTTGCACTGCATGGATTACACTGGTTGTCAGCAACACAGCAGCCCCAGGCACCGACAACATAAACGTGAGTAGCCTGAAGTGAAGTGGGGCATCCTGGTGCACACACTTAGCGCAGGCTGTATGTTGTTTTGTCTTCATTTAATTGTTATACTTTCAAGCATTCCATGTCTACTCAGTTATGCGTCAAGTCACAAAGGTCCCCTGCCTATAGTGTACACGGTTTGCAAATGAATGAATAAATACATAAATAAAACTAGTTGATTGGTAATAGGCACATTACTATTTGGGCATTGTAATAAATTGATAAACTTGTAGAGTACGTAGGTCACCAAGCGTTCACAGGCGCACAACACTTGCCATCGGTGTTCCAGTTATGACAAAATAAATTCATAACTTGAGAACTCGTGTCCGAGGCAGGTTATGAATCACTGTAGTGATCCTCTGGACATAAAGATGATAAAGATATTCTTACCACTTCCAGCTCTACTTTTCTGCATATGGTGTTTGCACCCTTTGTTCAGTGTAGCTGTTATGTGTAATCTGCTTAATTACAAAAGTTTAAATTGATCGATTTCGGCCAATTCCAGCGCATGCTCCAGTCAATTAGCTGGTTGATTGTATAGTAGGCCTACATGGTACCTTTTAGTAATTTCACACTTGCATTCCACACTGGATATGTTTCATTTTAAACCTTAATTGTGCGCAGTCTCCTGGTTCCCGTTGCTCTCTAGCGGCCATAGCCTCCGACTTCAGGCACGGAGTCTGGTTTACGGGTATCTGATCAGTGTTCCAATGGACATGCACATCTTTACTTCCCATATTTGGTGATGTAGCTCAGCGATGAGTTTCAAGGTGAAATAATGTAAAGTAGGCTCAATCAAAACACCAGAGACGTTCCATACTGAATAAACTCTTGGCGGTTTCTTTTCTCATAACCTATATGGATTAGGTATAAGGGATTAGGATTATGTAGCCTTTTTCCATGACACATAAGTATCAATTTTTGTTTTCTTCACAAACACACTTTATCACTCAGAGACTCCAGATTTGCACTGTGACTAAGTCCGTCTGACAGGAGCAGTGACAACTGGGGTATTCTACATATAATTTGCCGGCATGGTTGAAACAGACCTTCAGAATGATGTGTTTATCCCTGTGACCTGGGACTGATCTGTGTCTTCTTTCTCTTGTGGTGTCTTGTCTTTTGTGATCACCACTGTGGACATTCTTTTCACCATCTTGATTTTGGCAGCTCTGTTCACTGTAGTTTAGGTCAAACCTGAAGAACTAAATGCTGTTCAGTACAGGGGTAAATAAGACTGCAGCAAACTGACATACAAGTGAATAAGACATCCGACCTAATAATGAAAGAGAAAAAACACTAAAGTAGAAAAAACAGATGTTGTAGTGTCTACTTTATGCTCCATCAAGGCATACTGATTCTCTCTGTTAAGTGTTTATTTCCCAGTAAACAATATTTAAAAACCTCTCACCCTGGAGTGAGAGAGGTGTAGCCGGAGAGTGATCTGAGGCTACTCTAGTGCTTCCCTTCATAAATTATACCCCAAGACTGAGAAGTCTGCAAACAGTGTGCTTTTTAAAAAAAAAACAGTTGTGTTTTTTAAACATCAAGATTCCATCATCTTCCATCTTGATTTTATAGCTGGGTGCTATTTGAAAAAAGAAGAAACAAATCTATGTCTGGTCCTTCTTCAATAATATCAGACTTTTAAAATTTTTATTAATGTGTTTCAGTGCAGAACAAGGTAAGCCGCTGTTTTTTGGCCAATAAAGATAAAGAACATTTCTTCACTAAAGTAAATCCACATACTGACTCCAGCACTAAAGCTTCATTTATCGCTGATTAAGGAAGTTGCTACAGTGTGAAGTGCCTTCTAGACTGACTCAGTGTCCATTAATTGATAGTGCTTCTAAACATCCGAACTTCCACCAAGGACGCAGATATCTAACAATTCCCGTGATATCAGGGAGGATGGAGGGATTAGCTGGTGAAAGGGTGAATGAGTACAGACTTCAGAGGGAAAGAAGGGGGTAAGAGTGAGTTGGGAGTCAATGACCATTCAGTTAACAGGCCAAAATTACCATCCAGAGACAGAACCCGAGCTCTGTGCTTCCTGTCTGTGATGATGGATCAAAAAATGAAAGCCTGGATGCTGACAGTGGGAACTGTATATATATTCAATATAGTTTATGAAGACATGTCAGCTTCATGGAAGTTGACAATAGATGGATTTAGCTCTTGATTGAAGGCTGAACATAAAATGTATGCATTTTAGAGGTAGGAAAAACAAATGTGCCACATCAGGAACAAATAAATGATTTCTAAAGAGGCAGATATTTATCACTGTGAGCAAAATGCTCTTTAACATTTGTTACTTCTATTTTGTTTACCAATTCTTCTTCAAGAATCATTTGCATTTGTGTGTGCGCCAGCATGTTAATGTGTTTATACATGTGTGACTTTGTTGGTATGTGATGCAAGATGCTGTCCAACTGAGGTTTTGTTGGAACAAGTGTGAGGGCAAGGCCAAATTCCTGCATCTGAAGATTTAAGTGAATCAGGGTAGCTTGGCAGGAGCACATGTGGACAAATGGACAGCAGTTGTAAAGACTGCTGAGATACTTCAAACAAAGCGCCCATGATCTATGGTAAACTGGCATCTTGACTCAGCGTAACCCATTGGCATGAAATACCAAGGCTGGAGAGGAAAACCAACTCCTTTTGATTGTAGCTACTGCAGCACTTACCAAACAGTGTCTTTGGAAAACAGCAGTGTGTCTCTCATGGCTGTTGCCTACATATTGATTCTATACCACAGATATAACTCTGCTATAAGTAAATAAGTAGGCTGCAACATGCAATGTAAATTGATTTTCTCAAACCCTCTATGATAAACTAGCAGCTTAACCCTCTACTGCTCTCCCAGTTTAACTAAAGCAGGGCATTTCTAACAAAAGTGGGTTAAACCTATCCATTCATAAAAACAGTGATACAGTAATTGTAACATGTGCTGAAGGAGTTGAACATACCTTCTCTGAATTACCCTGAGCCTGTCATGTGGATGTATATGCAGCCACCCAAATCCTTTATGTTTTTGTCCACAACGTTCAATCAGATACAGAAAAGGATATGAGATACAAGTATTTTCAGGAAACTAGTGGCATAAAGTACAGAATGTATTTTTTTCCTTTTATATGCACTTAGTATATCTTGAAGACTTTCAGTCCTTAGCTTTATAACCTTTGGATTTTCTGAGGTCTGCAATCTGTTAATGGCACTCCATATATCTACTGTATGTTTTAAATCAAACTTAAGCACACACTATCATGTTGAAATACACTTGGGAAATATTAACATGTCTGTCGCAAGGCTGGCAACACATAATTAAAATGACAGAGCTACAACCTGGGCTTTCATCCTCGGAAGACAAAATCTGGTGAATCGTCCCATAAATTAGTGAAGAATGGGAAATGAAAACTCTAGTTTAAAATGTATCAGCATAAACTAAACACACTAGTATTTATATACATAAACCGAGCTGTAAACATAGTATGAATTACAGTATTGTCATCTGCACTGTCTGCTGAAACAGTAGGTGAGAAGTTCTGTGTCATACAGCTGACTTTGTTTGTCCTTTGCACTCATTACCGGAAAACATAATGCAGCAAATATTTGTATTATACACATCTGGACATATATTTTAAAACCTACATAGTAAACTTAATTTTTAGCAAATTAAATCAGCCTCAGTTGTTCTAAAATGCTGGAAACTTTTTTGTAGTTTTTGTTACTGATTTGTTATATCATAATGCTACATTGTTGGTCCTCTGTTAAACATAAATGTGTTCTTCAAAAATACAGCAGTTCAACAATAGTTAGGTGCCATTGCTGAAGTACTGATGTTGATATTGTAGAGCCAAACACAGTGATGCCACTGGACAGCTACACTGAAACTACGCCGTTTAAAGCTTACAAACCTGGATTAAACTCTTTGGAATAGGTTGTGAATCCTGTTTGGTACAGGGCACTGTAGCAAGAAACCATTAAACCACTAAAAGAAAATATAATATTCCATTGTACTAACACAAATGACACTCACAGCATATGGTGCATATTTTCGAGAGTCTAGTGTCTGTCAAAACGTTAAAGTCAGGGTTTGATTGCTTGTTAGCTGTGGGGCCTATATGAAGGACATTATTTTTTAGAGCATATAGCCATTGATACAAAGGAGGTTATTCTTTGTTCCTTGTTGTTTTAGACAGCATTAGAGCCTTGAACACAAGGCTAGTATCAGTAGGAATGGGCACCAGCAGAAAGAGGAGTTCCTGCTATGAGCTTTTAGTAAGCCACAGTCTGGTAGTAGCCAACTAGCATGGTATCTGCAAACACTTCCAAAATGGCTATAAATGGGACACTGTGGTTTATCAAATGCTGTGGTGTCTCCAACAAGCTGACAAGCTGCTTGTTCATTTAATTTTATTTAACAGCCCCAAAAAGTAATTTATCGTTTATTTTTATGTATTCGAGCATGTGCTTAAACATTTCCCTACTCCTGTCAACAGTGATCTCTGGTGTAAGCTCAGGGTGCCAGCAGGGTGGCTGTCTGACCTGCTCTGACTACAATGGCTGTCTGTCCTGCAAGCCACGCTTCTTCATGCATTTGGAGAGGATTGGAATGAAGCAGATCGGAGTGTGCATGACTTCCTGTCCTCCAGGCTTTTATGGCACACGCTCACCAGAAAGAAACACCTGCACAAGTAAGCCTCTGCATAGTCCCAGACTTCTGTGCAATTCATTGTTCTCTGAGTCTCACTGTAACCTTCTCTCATAATAAACACACAGACAAGTGTGTCAGACTTGCCTTGAGTTAGATGTGACCTCTATTCATGACATACATAGGTCTATTTAGCTGCAGGACGTCAAAATATATGCCCTCCCTCCATATACACTTCTTTACAAGCAGCAGTTTCAAGACCTGCTGGTGAAATATGATATCATACAGTTATACTACAGTAACTGAAAAAAGCAATACCTATTAAAGGTATGTTTCTTATTGGTGACATTAAATTAAATCAAGTGTTACTTTACTTAAAATCAGATGCCACCCTGCTCATCAACCTGCCTGCAGTGGCCTGTATTCCTGACTGTACTCGCCATCAGTCATGCAAATACAAACACACACACACACCGACACCCTGTATATTTAACACACAGGAGACGTACAATAACTTGCACGGTTTAAATAAATGCTGGTGTGGCTTTATGTTTCTCTGTTAGAGTGCAGGTTGGAGTGTGACTCCTGCTTCAACAAGAACTTCTGCACGCGATGTCGAGCGGGATTCTACCTTCATCTGGGCAAGTGCCAGGAGAACTGTCCCGAGGGGCTGGTCCGCAGTGACACACAGAGGGAATGTATTCCTAGTGAGTGCCCAGAATTCATTTTTATCAGGGACAGGAATAAAACACGGGGTTTGCCCTTTAACTCGATCAACCTTGTATTTATCACCGTGTTACCCATTTGGAGTTTATCAAATGATTCTCACCTTTGAAACATAGCATAACTAGTTCATAAAACATGTTTAGTTTTTGTGTTAAATTTGGCTGTTACAATCACAGAAACATAACTGCGCTTTTGTTTTTGCAGGGTGCCCTGCAGAGTGTGAGTCATGTGCGAACAGCGACACATGTACGCGGTGCCGGCCAGGCCTGTACCAGCTCAGTGGGAGGTGCCACCATGTCTGTCCAGACAACTATGAGCCCGACGACAGCCTCATGGAGTGCACACCACAAGGTTAGTCCATTATGTGTTTGTGTGTGTGTGTGTCTGTCTGTCTGTCTGTGGATATGTCCACCAAAGTTGCCCCCGATGGTTAGAGCCATCAGCTGAGTTGGCGCCACAGATGGCTGCCTTGGTTCTGTACTGGAAACAAATTCCTTGTGTGTGTAACGTACTTGGCCAAATAAAGCTGATTATCCTGATTATGATTACCCAAAGATGCCTGTCCTGTTTTTTGTCATTGATGTAAAATGACTACAAGTAGCAAATAAGCTTGAAGAAAACAGATCAACCCCTTTCTTAGCATAGAATGTTTCTCACCTTCACCTCTCTGGCCTAATTTTCCCCCTGTCAGTGCACTGCGAGGTAGGTGACTGGAATGAGTGGAGTCCCTGCTCTCGGTCTGGTCGAACCTGTGGCTTCAAGCGGGGTCAGGAGACCCGCACACGGCAGGTCCTCCAGTACCCATCGCCCTTTGGTGAACCCTGCCCTGAAATTTCAGAGATTAAAGAGTGCCTGGTCAAGAGGAGGAAATGTCCAGGTAAAGACCACACCCGCAGCACAGCTGCAGCATTTATGTCTCAGAGCTTTCTGTCAAGATCATTTTGATCCAGCATCAAAAACTAAAATGTCAAAAAACAAAATTTCAAAATAGGGACATCCTACATGCTGTCTGGTAGTTTCTACTGACCTACCAGAGTCACTGCCAGCATTGAATTTGTGACACACTGCAGGATTTCTGTTCTCTACGAATTCCAGGCCTTGTATAATCAGAGCTAGTTGTTCTTCCGCTCAGGACTACAACTGTTTATTCAAAGGATTGTCACTGTGAGGAAACACGTGTGTGATGTTGCAATGGGTATGTTTTGTGTTTTCCCTTGAGACCTCTGGATTTTTAAACTGTAAAACCACTTTCTCTGCTCCTAGTAAACATGGAATAGCATGATCATTTCTAATAAATAGTGGAAAACCGCTATCACATGGGTTTGTATCTTTATAAAACCAGATGCAGTGGCACATTTACGATTACTTTGTGTTATGTGTGTACTGTGTGTACTATGTATGTGGTTACTGAGGTGGTCGGAGGCTAAGGCTGGCTGTTTTTTAGCCCGAGCTCTGTAGTGTTAAGTGACAGATCGCAGACAGGGTAGGGGACTGAGATCCAGCCCCCTGAGGCCTCACACTTTTACAGAACAAACACTGTGTGTGTACATGTGTGAATGTGTGTGTGCGTGTTCTTGTACTTGCTATATAGTGAGGACCAAAAAAGTATTTTTTTTGCTAGTGTGAGGAATTTTTGGAAAGTGGGGACATTTTGGCTGGTCTTCACTTTCTGAAAGAGCTGTTTGAGGGTTAAGATTTGGTTTAGGGTTCAGGTTAGAATTAGGTATTAGGGTAAGTGTTAGGGTTAGACATTTAGTTCTGATGGTTAAGTATTAGGGTAAGGGGCTAGGGAATGCATGATGTCAATGAATGTCCTCACAAAGACAGAAGTACAAGTAGTTGTGTGTGCGTGCGTGTGCGTGTGTGTGAGATCCAGCAGAAAACCAGTTGGCTCTGGAGCAGAAACAGCCAGCTCAACATCAACATCCTCCCCCTGGGAGGCACACGGCGACCAGTGGATCAGTATTGATTTATCCCCACAGCTGCCAACACACACACACACTCGCATAAATCAACACTTGCACATTCAAAACAGATACACATACACAATCTTGCTTTCAATTAAATCTGGCAAATTCACCATTTCACACTTGCATAGTCACACAGGCACACCACAACACACACACACACACACACACACACACACACACCAACGTTGTAGCACTAAAATAACTGTAATTTGTGAAGAAAGTCAAATGAGTTGACAAGGCTTTATAAGGAAGACTGTGTAATGTGCCCTCTCTCACCCTGACTATCCCCCTCTCTCTCTATCTGTGTCTCTCTTCTGATCCATTCCCTCATCAACACACACACACACACCCTACTACAGTAAGGAAAACACTGACCCCCATATAAGCTCCCTGTTGATGCTCCCAGTCAGTCGGGTCAGGGCACAGACTTTAATGTCGAGTCAACAGCTCTGTTGATCTAGCCAAAGCCCAGTGAAGAGAGGGGCGTTACAGAGCAATGGGATGAGGGGAGAGAGGAAAAAGAAAAAAAGAATTGCAATTTTACACTCTACAGACCCCATTTATCGACTGTGATTACCCAGTAGTCCCCGCTTGCAGAGCATCTGCGGTGAATGAGAGCTAATTATCTGCCTCAGCGCATCCTCTCCCTGCTGTTTACGTTCTGCACACACTAGGGGGTCAGTGGTCTGACCTCAGAGAGCCCCCAGTAATCCTCCAGCAGCCCTCAGACACTGATACTTCCTCTTCTTCTGTTCCTCCTCTTTTGCACTTTCTCCCTTTGCTTTTCTCCTCCCCCTCCATCCTGCCTTGCTCCTTCCTGTCCTTCTCCTTGCTACATCGTTTACTCCTCCACATGGATCTGTGTTCATATCATCCTCTTTCGCCATCCTGTTCATCCTGCTTTCCCTGTATTTTTCTCTTCTCCTCACTTCTCCTTTCACTCGGCCCATCTTTTCATACTTTTAAGTTCCCATATCTTTCATCTTAAAATAAGTAAATCTTCATCTGGCTAAAGCTCGCTCACAGCAAAGAAAGCAAATAATATTTCCCAAAATGTCAGCTTCTCTTTAGGAGTAGATTTAATCTGTAGCTCTTACTGTCTCTCGTTCTACAGAACCATCTCAAAATTACAACTTCCAGTTGGTCCTGGTTGACCCCTAAACAATGGTTTAAATCAGTTTTAACATCAGAAAAGCTGAAGCAAACATGATGTCATATTAAGGCTTAGAATCAGAGACATCAGAAAGGCACTGTTCCGTTGTTAGCCACAGCTAAAGACTGTGAATGTTCACACACATTCTCATCAATCACTTCCTCTCTCAAGTTAATACTGTTTAATTCGTTTTTGATCATCTTACTGTTCACCTCTCTACCTCTGCTGTCAGACTATGTGTTCTGTGCAAACCTTAGGCCCCTTCCACTTACACAGACCTATTACACACAGAAACATACAGTTAAGCAGGCTGGCATCAGCCAATCAGTGAGGAGGGATTGTTATAGACATCCACACACAGAAACCCCTCCCTGACATCCTGGCGAACATGCGGCAGGCATTCCACTTGTGGGACAGGCCATAGCCTTTAATCCCAGCCTGGCTCCCACCAAAAGCCCCCCGGACGACAGAACGCCAACTACAGAGGATGTGCCACAATAAAACATACCGTGCTCCTCTAACTGCACACACACAATTAGACATACATATAAACACATCCCCAGTTACCCTCAGTGCCCCACTGCTTTCTGGTTTGATTATTTTTTTGGATATTTTTTTTCCAATTATTCATCATTTCTACGGCTCCTTTTTTGGCTGTATGTCTCCTTTACTTGCATGCTCACGCAAGCATTGCGCCCTTGAGCCAATGTGTAGTGTCCCATTCAGTAGAGCCCCTCTCTTTCAGTACAGTTTACCGTGTCCTGCCCTTTGTGAATGCGCCATAACAGATCTCTAGATGTGAAGACAAACTAATGGCTGTGTTTAGTGTGCAGACAGGGATTTCAGGTTAATAGTATAGGATGAAAAGCATAACACATTTCTGCATGCTCACTTAACTAAAGGTGGCATTAAATGTTCTTAATTTTTACTTCTGACAAATACTATCTTGTACTGGCACAAGTGGCACTAATTGTATGTGGATCCTGAGAACACTTACAGTAAAGGAACAACTGTGTTTACAAATTTCATTTGGCGCAACTTTACAATGAGCGCTGAATTTGACTAATACAGTATGACTGCATTTCTGCCACATCACAAACTACTCTATGTACAAATAGTAGAAATGTAAACTCCTAAAATGCATGCTTACAAAATGAATCTAGTAGCAACAGTTTAAATCATTTGTCTGCACAAAATAAATTGTGCCAAGTATAACAATACCTGATCAATTCTAGCATGACCATTTTTGGATACATTTCAGTTGTAGACACACAAATTCCCCAGAACACAACAGTATCACTGTCTGGAACTCTTATTTTGTGAGAAAAATATATTTAGTATATTTAATTGAGGCGCTTTAGAACCCTTAGAGCCACAGCGAGACAAATCCATGCTCATTTTAGAGCAGTTCAACTTTTAAATATGGAACACTCTAATGTGAAAACCTTAAACTATTTCACCAGTTCCAGTGTATAAAATTACTGAAACATTTTTGTTGTCCCAAAAGCCTACCCCTCAATCACTACAGCTTTGAAGGCTTGATGACATTATCCATTAATAACTAGCTTTTGGGAATGTACTAAATGTCTGTTGAAAATGTTCCAAAATGTCCAGAGGTGTCTCATTTGGGGTCTCTTACACACGTCAACACACAGTTTACAAAAAGCCCATCAGAAACTGTTCCAACTAACCAAATGCAGGTTGGTTTGATAAACAGTCTCCTAATCATCTCAACACTGGCACAGATTAGGTTTCTTCTGTGGCTCGACAAAAGCACGGGGGCTACAGTATGACTAATCCACTGAAATTGTAAATAGTTATGGTGTCAGGACAGAGAAAACAATGAGAGCGAAGGGGACTTCCTGTGTTTATAAAAGACGGGTGGCAGACCTCGAATGAGTCAGTGCACCAGATAACCCCATCCATCCCTTCATCCATCCATCTATGCACCCAGCTATCTTCACTATCTTTGATTTTTTTAACCTACTCTTTCCTGCCCTGCAATTCAGCCATGGTGCAGCCATGGTCCAACCAGAACTCTGTCTTGACTAATGAACAGACAGCAAAGGAAATGATGAATATGAGGAGGCCGAACATGAAGGGGACAAGACAGAGACAAAGAGAGATCTCTTGGTGTTTCTCTCTCTCCATGTGTCTGTGCTTACTGCCTACTTCAGCAGTTTCACAATCCCCAACCAGCCAGCCAGTGAGCCAAGCAGGCTGTGCTGCTCCTTTCCATTCACACATGACCAGCAGCAGAGCAACAGCGCTCTAACTTGCAGGTCCTGGCTCCAACCTCCCTGGGGGTGGATCTTGTCATTATCATTAATAGTTGCAGATTCAACAAAGATGAACCTTCAAATTTTCTAAACTCTTTGTTTTGTTTATAACATGGTGCTGCAAGAACAGATAGACAGGGATTTATTTAAAGCTTTCTGTTTCTAACAAAAGTCTACTCATCACAGGGAAAGCACTGCAACAGCTGATAGTCTGACAATGTAGGTGCTGTTGACATCTAGTGGTGAAACTAGTGTATTGCAAGAACCTGTGTCACACATTTAAAGGAAGATTCCACCCTGTTGTTTGTTTACAGCATGCTCATTCTCAGTGTTGTCCACTTTAAAGGGGTAGTTATTCTTTGAAATATGGAGGCTTTTAATACTTACAGATGTTCATGCAGCTGTTGGTTCGACAGATAAAATGGCATGTGGTGCACTAAGATGAGCAAACAAAGTGCAGCTTTCATGTTTTTATCCACAGCATAAACAAAACAAATGGATGAGTATGAAATGTTTAATGCTCCTAAGAAAACTTGAATGACTTAACAGCATTCATTAAGATATTAACTATTCTTGTAGGAGCCTGACATCTTAAGGGGCTATCAAATAACAAGTGGCACTATTTGACATGATGTGCATTTTGGGCAGTTTCTCCTGCTGTATTAATTATATTATATGGTACAAAATGAAAGTTTGTTTTTAATCATTCTTTATTGAAAATATCAATTATAGATATTGCAATAGTGAAAAAACAAAAAATATTCAAAATGGAATGTTTTTAAGCTTTATACAAACTCTTTTTCATTGCTCCCAGTCAAAATGAAAATGGAGAGAATAAAAGAGCTTCATCTTCATCCCTCTCCCCTACTTCACTAATATTTTTTAAATTTTCCTAATTTCTAGGAGGGCGGAGGAAGAACGAGCGAAAAGAACGGAGGAATCGCAAAGATAAGGAGAACCAGGAAGGTCGAAGGGAAAGGAAGAGGGAAAGGGAGCGAGAGAGGGAGAGAGACACAGGTGAACGTGAAGATTCTGATAACAGGAACAAAACTGAGCACAGGCATCGCAGGGGGCATGCCACAGAGCCAGTCTCCCCCGAAGACGGCCTTGTACAGTAGTGCCCTGATGGCTCCCCACCTTGCTCCTGTTACCCTCCCTCACCTCCTCGCCATCACCCACTGTTCATCCCCTCGACCCCTCTCAGCAGGGGTGTTGCTGCTACTTGTACAATTTGAATATACTGTTTATGCACAAACAGGATGGGGCACATTCAGGCACAAGACTTGGGCCACTACGAACTTTAATAAATCTATTTTCCTCTTCTACCCTAAAGCCTACTTCTTCACTTCCGTCACTGAGAGTGTCTCTTGTAAAACGTGCAGGAGACACAGACTGCTGTTAGGACTGAAGAACAAAGTGTCTGTGACTGTGTGGAGGACTGTCAGACAGGAAGACAAAGATGTGCTTGTTGTTATGGTTATTTAATGGTGCCCTGGTACATTGCGCATCTTGGTGTTTGAATGTAGATTTTGCAACATTATGTAGAACAACCATTTATTATTGTTGTTCCTGTTATTTAGATTTCTTATTTTATTTGCTGCAAAATTTGTAAAGAAAAAAAACTAAAGTGAGTTTGCCCTTGCCATCTGGTGGCATCTTCATAATCATTACAAATAACAGATGCAGGAGAACCTGCATGCTGTTACACAAAGGAGTATGGTCAAAACAGAAGTTCTGTACGTCTTGGACAAAGGCTATCAGTTTTATACAGATAAATGAGAAACCTAATCCATCACTGGTTTTCTTTTTGGTGTAAACGAAATATGTGCTCTCGTTAAAGCTCCTTGATTAGGAACCAAAAGCCTCTGTATGCCAAATAAAAACTATAATGGGTTTATATCTGTGCCTGTCATGCATTTTCTTTTAGGACTGCTGTCCAGTGCATCCTCTAGAATGTGTTTAAAACCTTTTCAGAATAAAAAGAAAGAGAAATGCCGAGCGGTAAGAAGCTAGTATTAACTGACCCAAAGGTTGCTATGGTTTCATTAGGGTGCAAAAAGCTAACACTAAATCATGTTTTTTCCATGATGGTAAGGAAAGTTTTCCAAAACTAAACATCTGCAATAGCTTGTTTCTTAGCACATACTGTCAGTCATTACAAATGCAGTTTAAATAAATCAAGCAACCTGCAGTCCTAGGTGGGTCAAAACTCACAATTGCGTTTAGATGAATTTTTGTAGGGCGCAACGCCTGCCTTTTCTTTCCTGGGAAAAAAGTAGCCATGCCACCATGAAATCAAACTCCGAGATGCATTTTCTTTCATTTGAATTAGTGAAGCATATAATGAGAAGCACTTCTGTAATATTAAGTTGCATACAACTGAACAATTCATATTTAAAGTATTTCAGTGCTTTGAAAGTGTGTCAACAAATTGAATCTGACATGTAAAATGAAGGACCACGTCTGGATTAATCCATTTTGTTCCATGAAAAGTGTCAGTGGTCCTAGATACTGGATCATTATTTGAGCTGTAAACTGTCAAAGTCAGATTTTTTTTGTATAAACAAAGACAAATAAAATATTTTTAAAGCTACACAGTTTATTGGTGGAGTATGTGGCTCATCATTCAGCTGAGAAATCCCCATTAATACAGACTGTACATGAAAACATGAAATGTTTCACATTTGACATTTGCAAAATATAGACAAGTTACAGTACAGTATGTACATAAATCATGGGTGGATGATAAAGCCAGGTCTTAAAACATAAGTGAAGCAATACATAGCAATAAAGATCAAGGTCAACACCAGTATAACTGGATGGAAGCCTGACTACTGCTAAAACAAAAAAAAAGAGGAAACTAACAAATCTGTAGAATTACCCAGATGTCTCTTAAGGTAAGACAACAAACTATCAGTCACAGTTGTTTGTTTTTGATTAACTTGATGCCTGCTGTTCACTTCATTTTAGCTGCAAAATCCTCGCCCTTCTTGATTGAAGCTTTCAGCTCATCAATGGCATCAACCACCAGCTTCTCCTCGAAGGCAGACAGCTTGCCAAGCCCAAGATTCTTCTCAATGCCATTCTTCCCCAGCAGGAGAGGTGTGGAGAAGTACTTGCACTCAGTCTCCTCAGACCTGACAAAGGCGCACTCAACAACACCCTCTTTTCCATTCAAGGCATCCAGGACAGAGAAAGTGAAGCGGGCACCAGCATAGGCCATGGAGAGAGTGGCAGACCCAGCTCCAGCCTTGGCCTTCACCACCTCTGTGCCAGCTTCCTGGATCCTGCTGATCAGGGTAGACAGCTGGTCAGCAGGGAACTCTACTTTGGGTGTGCACTGAGAAATGAGGGGGATGATGGTCTTCCCAGCATGACCTCCAATGACTGGTACACTGACACGAGCTGGGTCGAGGCCTTTGAGCTCTGCCACAAAAGTGTTTGCTCTGACAATGTCTAGTGTTGTGACACCAAACACTCTGTTGGGGTTGTATACTCCTCGCTTCTTCATGACCTCTGATGTAATAGGGATAGTTGAGTTGACAGGGTTGGCAATGACGAGGACCATGGCTTCGGGGCAATTGCGGGCACAGGCATCAGACAAGGTGGCTACAATGGTGGCGTTTGTGTTGAAGAGGTCATCCCGGGTCATACCGGGTTTTCTGGGCACACCGGCAGGAATGACCACGACATCGCAGCCCTGCAGAGCAGCATCCAGCTGGTCCGGACCTAGGTAGCCGGTTACTTGGGCCCTTGTTTCGATGTGGCTAAGGTCTGCAGCCACCCCGGGGGTGTGGGCAATATCATATAGGGAGAGGTGACTCACCAGAGGGCTATTCTTGAGCAGCAAAGATAGCGGCTGGCCTATGCCGCCTGAAGCTCCGAGCACTGCTACTCTGGCGTTGTTCTGCGACGAGGTGGACAAGCTCCGGGCGAGGCTAACAGCAGGTCTCACAGCACGTGAAAACATTTTGCTTTCGTTACTTATCTCCTAATCTAGCGAAAATAAAAAGAAATTATGAGCACCTCTCCTCTGTGACACCAACGTCCTCTAGCCACGAGCAAACAGGAAGACTCGTGAATTGTCATGCGTCAAAGATATGGGTTGTGCGATTCTACGTCAAATGGCGTCAGCGCGTACTGTTACGTCGTCGTCGTCTTTATCCCAGTTGCATTTCGGAGGAAAACAAAGCACATTAACATTGGAAGTCGGTAAGGTTAACGCTGGAAATTATTGTCATTATACGAATTATACCCGCAAATCAGACCAGGAAACTGTAACGGTATCATACCTGCACAGGTGACGCGTTGTCTGTCGTGAGAAAATGCTTGGAGGTTGCTGTTCATAACGCTCTGCTAAAATAAGCTATCGCCTCCAGATGAACTCCGTCTATTTGCTGGAGGCAGAGTGCTGCCCTTAGCCTAGCCAGCGTTAGCTAGCTACAACAGGTCTCATTGTTAAGGTCGCTTTGTCAGTCGAGAAATGCATTTCTACTGTTTGCCTTGTGTTCGTCTTTGTAACTGTAACGGCGAAGCCTTGCTTTTGAGCAGCTGCTTTGTATTCAACATTAGCCAAAGAAGTTTGCTTAGCTGTAGACTTTCACCAGTTACTAAGTGTTACGATTTACGTTAACGATCGCCATTGATTTCACTTTTAAAACGTTAGCTGTCAAAGCCCAGCTGGGTTAGTACAAACTTGTAACAGGTACCCTAGCTGCCACGGGTCCTTGTGGTCAGACAGTTAACAGAGTAGCCCTTTGTTCCACACACTTCGCGTTAAGTAACCTCCCACAGTTTAGTCATCGCTAAGTGAATTAATGCTAACCTGTGAGCAGTTCGTTTTAACCTAACCATCAACGTGTTAGTCACGTAACGCTAATGATTCAGTACTCAGATAATTTTACATAAGTAATTGCTTGATATTGTGTATCACAGTTCTTATTTTCCTTTTGGTAGTGGCAAGTTTGAAGGTCCATCAGCTCTCCTAATGGTACATCAGAAGTAAAGGTACTTACAGTAAGTATCAGAATTATGTCAGATTAAGTTCACAAATAGCACAGGTTATGCCATCATTTGATGTTTATAAGTATTAGTTTACTTCAGCTTGTGATTGTTTGCTATTAATGACAGTGACGTGCAGTCAGGTGTTAAATGTGATCATAATAGCAGTAAAATGTTACACAAAAAGGAAAGTACATTCATCACAAATGATGTAATGTCTTTCATTATTTGGACCTAAAAACATACACAAAAAATACTCGCGTGTGTGTGTGTGTGTGTGTGTATATATAGTACTAACACAATAACCCAAATGTGCCTGTTATAACTCTTATTTAAAATTGTCCTCTTTCTTCAGTACTTCTTAAGGATGGCTAGTTGTGGGGAGGTAGACCACTCTGTTAGCTCACTTCCATCCAGTAAAAAAGGCAGTAACAATGGTGGTGGAAGTGGGAACAGTGCAGAATCATCATGTTCTGGCTCCAGCAACTCATCGCCAGCCCTGTCTGTACCGGAGTGTGCAATCTGTCTGCAGAGCTGCGTCCACCCAGTTCAACTGCCATGCCATCACATCTTCTGCTTCCTTTGTGTAAAGGGAGCATCCTGGCAGAGCAAACGCTGCGCTCTCTGCAGACAGGAAGTACCGGATGACTTCCTGGAAAGGCCCACACTTCTCTCTCCAGAGGAGCTGAAAGCATCCGCAGGTGGTCGGGGTGGGGCAACAAGTGATCACGCTTGGTATTATGAGGGCCGTAATGGTTGGTGGCAATATGATGAGCGAACCAGCCGTGAGCTGGAGGACGCTTTCTCCAGGGGCAAGAAAACCGCTGAAATGCTTATTGCTGGTTTTTTGTATGTAGCCGACTTGGAGAATATGGTGCAGTACAGACGCAATGAGCACGGTCGTAGACGGAAGATGAAGAGAGACATTTTGGATATCCCCAAAAAGGGAGTGGCAGGACTGCGTTTGGATACTGACGGTATTCCTGGGACCATTGGGGCAGCAGGACGGGAAAACTCCGCTGATGGGGCTGATACCTCAGTAGCAGCTGTACAACAACAACAGCAGGTTATGAATATCTCTTCTACTGTTACAGCCCCTCCAGCTGCTGCCAGACCTCTCACCTCCCTCGGTGGTCAGCCTGGCACCAGCACTAGCTCCTCCCTTGAGAATGATCTCTCCCAGCTGCAAATCAGCCCCAGGCCCACTCCTTCTCATGAGCGGCCTGAGGCTGGGGAAGGAGAGGAAGAAGATGAAGAGGAGGAGGCCTCACCCTCCAGGTCCTCTGATCCTCACACCTCTGTGGAAGAGTCTGGTTCTGGAGACTGGAGTGACGATGAGGAAGAGGAGGATGAAGAAGAGGAGGGGGGAGATGGTGAGCATGTGGAGCCATGCGCGGATAGGCCACAAAGGCAAAGACTGAACACAGAAGACAGAGCCCCTCCTGGTGCAGAGTCCGCTTCTCCCCCTTCCTCATCCAGTAACGGAAGGTCCAGAATGCCTGATGGCCAGTGTATAGTGACTGAAGTGTGAAGTCATCACTGATATCATCAACACCAAATGGCTATGTTTCATTCCATTAATTTATTCCTGACTTTATGCTGTCATTCACGCAGTCACAGACTGGATGTGGGTGTATTACTTAGTATAGGAGAGTTGAAGCATTATATACTCAATTACAAATATAACCTTGTAATTAGGAAAACAACTCAATTTTGGCAATCACATTTGGTGCCTCTTTGGCTCACAATGATTTGGATGTATTGTCATTCTTACTCTATATATTCAGCCAGTAGAAGTAATGTTCGTCATGTTCTAGTACTACGCATTCTAGTACTGAAACATGAGGTAGAGTTTGGTAAACAGTTGGATACGACATGTTGTAAGCCATGGAATCTCCTAAATGTCTATCTAACACATCATATGCAGTAGGTGTAACACACCTATTGTGGTGGTCAGCTGCCATCGGTCTATTCTCTTTCAGCCATTTGCTGCAGGCATATTAAGGCTGTTTTTTGAGTAAAAGCAACTTGCCAGCCTGCTTCTACCAGCCCTAGGTAGGCATTCGTGTGTTTTAAATTTACTGTATGATCTGCTACCTATTGGGATATTTACTGTGCTTCTGGGAATCTCACCCAGTTTTGTGGCTTGCAGTGAAAGAAGGCATATATGAGGATGCTACTCTTGAACATGGAATGGTGTCATTGTCATTACTATGAATGGCTGCATTCTAATCATCTATACCCTAGCTGTGTCTCAATTCAGGAAAGGCAGCTTTCAGAGGCTAATTGCGTCACAACAATGCTGTCCCATTGTGAAAGCTCCGTTAAATATGCAACAAAGAATCCAGCTGGCGGATCCTTCATGGCCCACCTGATCCCAAGCTTCTTTGCTCACCAGCAGAGAGCAGACCAGCTGTTAAGGTTGCTAAGTGACAGGAGTGAGGCTTTTTAATGCAGCAGTAAGGGCAGGAACAGTTGGTAAGGTAAATAGGAAATCCTCTAAAGACCAGACAATCTCATTTCAGTTTGGCCTGTAGTTCAGCTGTTGTGGTCTACAGTGGCTGTGAAGGCCACACCTTCATAGACCACACCTTTTGAAGGTTGCAATCCCTGAATTGACACAGAGCTTAAGCCTCTCAGCTAACATAGCACGCAGAAATGGGCTTATTGGAGTCATTTGACTACTCTTGCAAAGAATTTAATCTTTGATTACTTGCTCCCAACCTCCACACTAAATACTGTCCTTCAGATTTAACTGATTATGAAGCCTTTACTTTAAATTCTGAAGCTTAACTGTTAACTTTTGTAAATGTGCCATTTTAGGGCAGATAGCAGTTTGAAAAAAATCTTCAAGTGGTTTATCTAGATGAAGAAAGGAACCAGAAAAGCACTTAATGATGCTTGTCAGCTATTTATCTTTCACACAACATTGTAATGTAACTCAGGATCCACCAGATTATCTGGCTACCTGCCTTTGGTTTTTTTGATTTGATTTTAATTAACCTGCAGCTCTCTCTGAAATTCTAAATTCTGTAGAGATTTAAGAATAGTTTTAAATTAATGTGCATAACAGAGAACATATCAAATTCACTTTCACTTTTCCCAACCTTAAGTAATTGGCATTTTATTGTAAAGTATTTTCCTTTGAAAGCTGTTGAGGCCTGTGTAGCCTCATTTGTATTTTCATTGTCCCTGACAGAGGTGTGACATAATTGGTGTGACTCTGAAGTTTTGTGATTTGTGCGTGTTTGAAGAGAGAGCTATTTAATCCCTACTGGTTGGCACGATGTTGAGAATTGATATTTTAGGTTTGGTTTGAGTAAATGTTTTTTTTTTCTTTTTTATGGCTATAAATCCTTATGTGTCATGTCTGAGGCGTTAAAATGAGAAGAACATGTCACTGCAATTTGCCATCCTGCAGAATTTTCAAGTTTTTTTTTTTGTCTTTAATGCTTTCATCATCAGCTCAGTTTTAGACTTTCTATTCTGAAGAATAAAGTTTGTGCAACAGTTTTTGCTTGGCAACATTTTGTTATGTGGTTTGTAATTTAAGATTAAATTGTGTCATTTCATCATCTTAAAAGGATGTGTTGTTCTCTTGTCTCTGAATATACATTTTCTTTAGCTTCTCATTCCACAGCAGCTATTGGCACTTCACGTGTACCTGGCCAGGAAACATGACCTCTGGAATGGGAACACCAGATAAAAGCCTGACATCTTCCAGGGGCCTGTACTGTTTTTGCCATTTTAGTCTGTGCACATTTGTGCTTTTGCAGTGCCTCATTTTACAAACAATTTAAATATGCAATGAAAAATTAGCAACACTTTGGTGCCAAACTTATAATATTCTGAATGTCTGGCAGATTTGAACAACTTAATTGGACCTAGTGTTTCATTATCTTGCCCGTGCAAAGATGAGAACCATTGTACAAGGAGAATCACCTAATGGATTACAAAGAGATAAAGTGGGAAAGATCAAACCTACCACAGCACACCCTGAGCAGAATCTGTGCAAACCTACAAAACTGAGGTAAAGAGGAAAGAACTCAAAATCTGTTATTAAATGCTGATGCCTCAGGCTTGTTAAACCTCAACATCTGTCTGTATACTGTCTGCTTCACTTAAGACGCAGCCTGGTATGAACAAATTGCTATAATCACATTTTCAGTGGCAGTTCTCATTTGTTTGATGATAGAAGGGAATAAGTTTTTCATTTTAATCCATACTAAAAATATGACTATTATACCAGTGGAATCATATAGCATATTCAGTTGTTTGTTCCAATACGCTTCAGTTGAAGTAAATCACAGTTTTCATATAAGGTATCATACATTGGTGTGTGAATGGGTGTGTGTGAATGGGTGAATGGTGTATGATCTCCCTGTAAAGCGCTTTGGCCAGTGCAACACACTAATGCGCTATATAAATACAGTCCATTTACCATCGGTCAACACAGTATTTAAGAAAAAAAAAACCCTGTAAGCAAGATACTGCAATTTCATGGTGTTAATTTGAATTTCATTTCCAAAACACTACTTTCATGACCTCATATTTTATATTTTGCAGAATATGACCCAGAAAAGGCACATTTTCAGCATCAGTGCCTTGCGCACATGCCTCAGCTTCTTGTCTTGGATGATGAACAGGCATAATGTCACATCAAGACACCAAGCAAAAGACATCACAGGGACTTCAGTATGTGATAATTATTAATCTCACATCAGTGTATCACCTTTTTTCATTGGCAAACAAAGAAGAAAGCCTTCATCAGTCTACATTTTAGATCAAATTTTAATTACAACCCCCCCCCCAGTAATGTCAATTAAGGATCAATGTTTCCTCAAAGGTAGTGTAGCAGCTCTCTATGACATCTTGCAAACAATTCTGACCACTGGGGCAGGGCTTTGCTAAAATTTCTCTTGCTGATCTGTGACACTATAAAAGTAGACTGTTGGAGTGAGACACTTCAGCCAGATCATTTGTGTATGGACTTGCTGGCCAAGGCCTGCAGGTTAGCTGGACCACCCCACACTGTCCCAAATACATCCTTCTCAGTCCTCAGAGTTTCAGACAGAGGGAGCTCTCTTCCTGACACCACCACCTTCTTCACAGCCTGGATCACAGGGGCAGGTCCTTTTGTATAGAGACTAAGCCAGTTTGTAGCCTGCTGTAGGAGAGTCTCTGCATGTTTCTCTACCTGTGAGCCCTCCAGAACTCCATCTGCCAATCCAATCTGCAAACCAAACTCAGGGTCCACTTTGAGAGCACCACCAAGAAGTTTCAGTGCATTTTGGCTTCCAACAATGTTGACAAGTCGTGCGGCACCACCCCAGCCTGGAACCAGGCCCATGTGTTTATGGACAAACTGGATTACGCTGGCATGTGCCATTAATCTATGAAAAAGAGTGAGATAACAAACAATTTAGATTTTTAACCATCTTGGGATGGAAAGTTATAGTGTAAAAAGATACTAACGTTTTTAGTTTTGTTCACTCATGTAAAAACATTACCTAAAATCGCAGGCAGTGGTAAGTTCTGCACCTCCTCCCAGCGCTCTCCCCTCCACCAGGGCAACAGAAATCAGAGGCAGTCTGCACTAAGGAAAGTATTCTGTTAGCATACTGACACACATTGCATAACAGAAAAACCACAGCTCCTTTAAAGAGCCCAGCCATTTAATGTTTAATCTTGGGTACCTCTAGATTAGCTTCGTACTCATCATTACTCCAAATAGTCTATAATTATTTCAGAATGATAAGACCAGAGAGCCTCTTCCTAAAAATGAGGATAGTTTGTGAACATGCATAACTCCTACTGCTAGTGTTGTGTCGAAAGTGAACAGCACGACGAATGGTGACAGCATTGATTAATTGGAATTCCTCCTCCATGGATAGGTAAACAATGGTTTATGTACCAATGAAAAGAGATGTGTAACACTCTAAACAAAGCGGATAATTGAGAAACCCCATATTTTAACTGGCATAATGCAGACATAGTAACTTCTCCATCCTTACAACAAGTGTCTCTAATGTTACAGTGACAAAGCATTAACAGACACGCAAATAATAGAAACATCACTCCCTTTCAAGTAGCTCAAAGTTCAGTAAATCCAACCGGTGGTCTCTGCATCTTCCCCCACATGACCACATACATTCCCAAAGTAGTGAAATTAATTAGCTCTGAAATAGAAATACTACAACTATGTATACCTCATTTTTTGAGCTTTAGGTCATGTCTAAGATGATAATTCACCATTGTCGATAAGTCAAAAAACAAGGGAAAGCATGCCGTGGGCTCTTTAACCTCACACTGGTTGAGCAGTTGACAGGAAAATCAGAGCTCTTACCTGAGTAGCCTTGTAAGAGCATTCTGCATGAACATACACATCTTCATCCCATCCTACATGGCAAAAGAAACATCATTTAGTGTGTTCAATTCTCAAACACAAACAGGATGACAGATGTTGTGAAGTGTGTCTCTGCTTTCATACCTGTGGGTCAGATATTGCTCTGACAGCACTGAGGTCTGATCCAGAGCAGAAAGTTTCAGCAGCACCCTGGACAATAAGGCCTTTGCCATCTGTCCACTTCTCTAGCTGGCTCACCTTGTCCTCCAGATCCACCATCATACTGCCTGGGAGGAAGGCAGAACTCTATTGAACAAAGCAATGTACTTGGATGCAATGTAATCTGTCTGTGTTAATGAATGTATTAACTGAGAACAGAAGATCCCATCTACACTACCAGAGAAGGCATTCATGCGGGAGGGGTTGTTAATGGTCAGAATAGCGATGCCAGAGTCCTGTTTGAGTAGATCAATGGAGCCTCCAGGAAAGGCCTGCAGCTTCTCTTTGACCTCCTTCTGGTTGAAGCCATGGATACTGGAGTAAACACAGCCACTGCTCGGTCTCTGCAGCAACCTTGGAACATTTATATACAGCATATTATTGAAAATCCAGTCACAGTCAATCCATACACAGATCTAGCCCTCACACAGGTTTAGAAAAACAGATACATTACTTGTAAACAAAGTTATTTTTTGTTAATTTTACACCGACATTAATATAATCAGACGTGTATTTTCAAGCTAAATAACAGTGTCAGTTCAAGATAAGCTGAATGTGCATATGTGTAACTGTAGTAAAGGAACTGGTATATATACTTGTCACACTCAGGATTGGAAATTAGCACTTCTATTTACAAACAGGAGGAGGACATATGCTTTTCATACACTCCCTAACTTCTCTGTCAGCCTGAAGGAGGTATGATACAATCCACTCATACAAACTACTGACACCTAAAAAAACAATTCTCATTCTGAAATGAACCTGACTCAGGATGACTTGTTTAAAAGTGTCAGCACGTTTTGTTTGTTAGATTTGTCTGTGTTTGTGATGTGTGAGTAAACGAGATGGGCTCAACTGTGTGCACTGTCACCAGCATGTTATAAACAGTGCTGGCTAGACTCCTTTACCTGCCCCAGGCTCCACAGCTACTGCTGCTTTTCAGAAGTTGTCGGCTCAGTGGACAAAGAACCATCCTGTTGCTACATAGATGAAGGATATAGAATAGCATATTCATAAATATTTGGCCTTCACTGGGATAAATTACTTCAGAAATATCATATGGGCACATCATCCGAGTGAGAACAGCAGCTGCTGTTGTTTTTAGAATATTGTAAAATGAACATTAACTCAAATTATTTCCAATCATCTTTGAAAGAAATGGGGCTAATTGTCAAACAGGAACTCCTGTGTTGATGGTTAGCCTGTAGTAACCTTTTCCACAACAGACATGTTGACTTATCCTAGTAGAACACGGATTGGTGTTACTAATAACAATTGCATGGTTCCATTATATTCAAGTATCCCAGTTAAGAAATGCCAATGTGACAGTGAGTCAGCAGGCACAGTCGCAGGATACCGACACTGTGATGATGCTATTCAGCCATCACAGACTTTATTAAACTTGTACTGTTCCTTGTCAACATATCTTCTGTAAAAACGACACTTCCTACTGTTCCATGTCAACATATCTTCTGTAAAAACGACAGCTTTCAGTCTCGGTGCACACAACAGCTTCTTCACAGAAAGTGAAAGTGGACATTTAAAAAGGCCTTGATGAAGATGTTAACTAGAGAAAAGTAAACATTAAAAAGCTGTTTATAAACGTAAACACTCAAGTTTACCGTTTTTATCTACAATAAACAGCATATTGCAACTGTCATGGCGTTACATTCATTTTTAATAGTCAGCATCCAGCATCATGCACCTTGCTTGATGACACCACTGTAATATGCGGGGCCCAAAAGCAGGACGTATCAAAACCTAACGATTTTACAAACTCTTGTTCAGCAATAGTCAATTTAATCTCATTGTTTTGAAACGGAATATCACACAAGGTTGACGTGCCCTTTTCCAACTTTACATACTATACAACAATACAGACAACGAGCTGCAGGGAAAAATAACGTAGTTCGTAAAAAAAAAAAAAGAGTCTGGTATGACACTACAATACTTACAAAACATTTAGCAATAGCAAAGTGCCAACGCTAACCTTGTAATGGGAGTCGTGTTGTGTTACATTGAAATCCATCCCACTGGAAACTAGAGCTCTAAAATATGGAAACGTGTAGTTCTCTAATCTCTCCACAGGGGGGCGGAATTACACTATCTGGCAGCAATTATGATTTTGGATGCACTTGTAAAATATGTCCGCTCATGCAAAGAGACTAAAATATCCCAGAATTGTGCTGTTGATATTGAGCCACATATCTTAGCCATATTATACATAACATTCTGCAAGAAATAACTTATTGTTAAGCATGAACTGTAAAATCATTCATTACTGGTCTATGCACTGCACAGAGAGATCTGCTTTTTGTCTGTCACAACTTTGCAAACAGAGCACACTGAGGAACCAGCTCTACAGACATGTCCTTATTCAGTAGTATTGACAGAGGGTTTTAAATAACACCCATATTATAGTGTTGGTGCAGGCTATTGTCAGGTATATTAACATGGCCTATAGGCCACGTTATTATATCTGTTTAAGACTTAAGCTTAAGTTGACTTAAAACTTAAACTTAAGTATTGTACTGCATCTTTTTGGTGGTGAAACACCATAATAGCAGGTTTTGTTTGATGCAAGCCTTGAACACCTTTGCTGGCCACCACCGAGCTGACCACATTTAAAAGTTAATATCACTGCGGACACTGCCAAGTCTAACACTGTGTCACCATTATGTCAAACAATATTTTACTCTGAGGTTTGGTTTTATACTGTATGTGGCTAAAAGGAACAGTCAAAGCTGTTTACGTGTAGTTATATAGCAACTGAGGTTATTATTGGGTTTAGGGTGAGATTGAGGGAAAATGTACTTTTATCATTGATAGATGGTTAGTAAGCAGAACACCCATTATTAAAATAACTTGTCTATGCTGGCTAAAACCAAAGCACCATTGTAAATACTGAGGTTTGTACAGATAGGAGATATCAGATAGAAGATAACTGTGATGTTGAGAAAGGTAGAATTGAGGACATTTAAACAGTGAGACAAACAGGTATAAACAAAGAAGAGAGAATGCTACAAAGACCCAGAATGTGCAGGAAAAAAATGGAAAATGTGCCAAAAACAGGGGCGCTGATACACTTGTGTTTTGTGGTGTGATAGCTACTGGGAACATAAATCCCTCCCTTCTAGGCACGTATCCCATGTTCATAGCCCTGAACATCTTTGTGAAAACAAACAAGGAACCCAAAATGCCTTTTTCTTTCTTTCTTTCTTTCACTTGGATTACTGGGGATTCCAGATTTGCTGAATCAAAAGTCTTAAACAAATTTCAGTCACAAAAACAGTGTGTGTTTTATCGCATTCACATGCCAATAGATCTGTATTAAATCTACTTTGAAAGCATAATTTTTTTGCAATTACATAAAAAAATCAGTCATACTGTATATTTTCATGTGTAATTAATTACTTTGATATCTAAGACACCAGCACTGTATATTTGACCATGTATTATATGTGATTAATGCCCAGTCAAGTGTATTTTTCCCTAAATGGGTGGCTTTGTAGAACCAAATTTCTTCATGACTGTATTTCAAACATAAAAGGTCATCATCAAGGATACAGTACACTGCATCCAAGACTGCAACTCTGTTTAAAAGTCCACACCTCTCTGGTCTATTTAAAAGTGGGGAAGGAATTTAAAAAGGTCAGTGGAACTCTTCCCAGGCGGGCAATCCAGACACACTGACTCTCCCTCTTGCTCTGTAGTGGCAGTCATCTTGTTCAGCTAGTCTGCAACCTGTCCCTAAATATCATTTTGTGAAGTGTATCACCTGAAAGACATGGAAGCTTGATGGAATCCATATGCACAGTAATCTCTAAGTCATCCACAGCTGGGTGTAACTGATTGTCTATCTGTGTTAGGTGTGTTTCATTCATTCACAAACCATTTTCTGACTGTGCCTTTCCACATTCATTCATCCTCCACTCAGCCCTTTCAATTATTTTGATCAAAGTCTGCCCTGTCTGTCTGGATATCAGTGTTCCAGCCACAGACTCCTGCAGATAATATAAAACTGTCTGAAATTACAGCCTTGCTAATGATAAAGAAAGAGAGGGAGACGAGATGCACATTGTACACATATTTGTCTATGTGTATATACATACAGTACGTGCATGTATGATTCCTGTCTGTTTCTGTGTGGTTGTGTGTACACTTTATGTGGCTTTTAAAGTGATGCATCAGTGTACCGATCGATATGCAGCTGCCTGAGGCACCACAGGAAGTCAGGGAATGCGCTGCAGTCAGCATGGCTCTATATCAACTCAAGCCAGAAAGAAGACACTCACACACACACACACACACACACACACACAAAGAGAGAGAGAGAGATCTGATAAATGCCAGTAAGGATCTGTTTCAGGGTAGGAACAATGGCAGGTTGTCAGGTGCCAGAGTCTCTCAGGTGCCTAGAGGTTTCCTGTGAGGGAGGGCAGAGAGCCCTGTTACTGTAGCAACTCACATGCACAAACCATTAAAAGAGAAAATGCACCTGTTTAATATATGATATACAGCATATTGTATAATTTGAAGTCATTCCTAAACTGTGAAAACAGCATTACCATGTACTGTTTTCACCTTGCTTGTAGCTAGAACAATCAAGGTTGGGGACACAGAGAAAGCCACTAGCCATACTGTAGCCTTGTCAGTCAACAACCAAAAGGGTGCAACTGATAATTCACATTTCTATGCAGTATAATGAGATAAATGTGTTCTCATGGCTGTTAACTTAAAGCTACAGTATGGCTAGTGTTGGTCAGAGAGGAGTGGATTGATTTGGAGTTTTAATGCTAATGCTTCCGTTGATTTACATACTGTAGGTGAAAGGCTGCAAGAGGATGGAGACTTTAGAGGGGACCTGCTTTGCTCTGGACAGATCGATTTAGATCACATCAAGCACCATGCATGGCCAGTGTATCAAAGGAAACAAGTTGTATGTAGCAGTCTGAGCATAGACCATATAAACATAAAAAAAAATTTCATCAAATTTGGTATGTTTTATTTAAATCTGTGGTGTTCATTGGCAATAATGACAGGAAATTAATTGCTGAGACTAAAACTCAAAGTAAAGTATAACCAGGTTATAGGAATATTATGTTTCTTATAAGAAGTCACAATGCTGTTTCAATCATGTAGACTACCTTTCTCTAAGCTCTACTATATACATTTTCCTTGACTCATACCACAATGGCCAAACAATTTATTCAGTGTGAGGCCCCGATCTTTGATCATAACAGTGACAGCAAAAATGTATTACAAGGAGAAGTGCCAGGACACAGATCCAGACCATGAGACAACTGATGAGGAACAGTCAAGTGATGAGGACAACCCAGCTGAGTCTGTAACCATACAGTCAAAAAATAAGAATTTGTCCTGGTCTTCAACACTATCTGAGAGGAGAGGAAGCCTGTCAGCTGAGAATGTCATCAGGATGACCCTGGACCAATACGTTATGCCATGTCCTGGTCTGATGAGATCAAATCCTGCTTTGAACTGCTCCTGATGGAGCCACTGGAAACCAGCCATCCATTTATCTATACAACATATCCTGTCAAGGGTTGCAGAGGTGAAGCCACTTCTAGCTTATGGTTTGCAGGGTCTGGTCAGGCATTTTTTGTGTCAGCATATCACTTTACTCAGGAATTCTACAGATACAATTCTGTACCAGTTTAAAAGGGTTTAAAAATAAATATCAATATTTTACTTGTATATATTCAGTTTAGTGAGGCCTGCAAAACTTGTTATAATTATAATAAAAATAATTTTAAAAGCCCTGTTCAGGATAAGCAGCATTGATAATGGATGGATAGAAGTTAATAAAAAGAACTAACACAACACCTGTTACCAATTGTGTATAATTACTTATATTATAATTATGTATTATGATTTCTAAACAGTTGCAGTATGGGTCAATCAGTTTTGGCCAGGAACACAAACACTGGCAAAGATTATTGGTAAAATAATAAACTACTGTAAAAAGTAGCTGCACATGATGGCAACCAAGTAACTGCAGCCACTCTGTGCTTGCATGATAAAATACAGATTGTTGCATGACTTCTTTCCACTGTTCTAGTGTTTTAAGCAAAACAGATATCAAAACAATTAGCACTGGTTATATAATGCAAACTGTTTCAACATCTGGAAACCTCCAGACTTGAGCAAAGACCAGTTCTGGGAATCAACAATTCTGCACAAGCTTGACTGAGGAAAACAGGGTGAGACAGCCAACACGGAGGATGACAATATTTATATCAGCACTAGGGTAGGATTTCTGGCACCGTAACACTGTTGCACCTGTTTTTTCAGTCAGCCTAGGGTACCCAGTTTCATAGTGAGGGGTTAGGTGGCCATCCCTCCTAGGAACATGGTTGTGTGTGGGCATGTGTTCATTTGTATGTTTATGTAAGTGAATCAGCTTATAGTATGTGTGTGGAAAGAGTTGCAAAACTGATTTATTTACCAGATGGCAGTACAATTCTGAACTAATAGGGGTATTTTCGTGTTGTAGACAGGCAAAGAAACTTGAGAGAATAAAATGGTGCTCATTAGACATTCTGTTGTAAACAAAATCGCACATTTAGAAAAAGAATGCATACAACATTTATGCATATTTATATCTCTCTCTATATATCTATACATCACTCAGAGGAAGAGAACACAGTGTCACAGAGGACATTTAAAGGATTCATTTGGTTCTTCACAGTTGTGAATTGAACAGTCACCTAGGACTCCTCTTGATGCAGTCACAGAAATATTTCTGTGCAATGTCTCAGTGATGTTCAAAACATATTAAATTATTGCTCCTCATGTAGGCTAAGGACTGCATAGGCTAGCATTGGGGCATAGCAACTGCAATGGCAAGGTTAACTTACTGCAGCTTGTATTGGAGCTTACTGGAAATAAAAATACAATATACAAGTTTAAATAACACTAAAAAGGTTTATCTACATAGCTACTTCACTTCTGTATCATTACATACCCTCTATAAAGTGTTACGTTGTACTGATAGTTATATTTCACAGTGGGTTTAAGGTGTCAAGGAAAGATTTTTATAAGTTCTAATTATAAGGTCTAATTATTTGACAAACAAGTCAGTCAAAGCTGCACAGCATTAAAAAACACATACACTGAACTGTGAGTATGTAGTACAATAATGCAAATGCCAATAGTTTAGTGTGACATGAAAAGAGAAGAGAAATTGTTACGTCCTTATGTTTATTACACAAAAAAAACAGTAAAGGCATCACCTTCTTCATCATTGACCACTCTGACCTAAAAAGAAAAATGACTCAGCTGAGCAACATCCTGACATGTCACCATACAGAGTTAGTAAAAGTAGAAAAAAACACCTTTCAAAGCATTGTTACTTCAGTTAAGCACAAGAGCAGGCTGTCATGTGTGAGGCTGAACATATATTTTGATAGCAACACATTAGAACAGTAAACATAAATGCCATTACACACAATGTATTTAATTTTCAAATCATGAAAATGCATATAAAGAAATCAGCCTTTGGTACAAAGTTATAAAAAAGGAACTCACATTTTAATCTATCTGATGATATCAAGTAATATTATTTTGGCTTAATCATGATAAAATGTAAAGCCAGTCAGGAGCACAAAGCAAAATGTTTTAGTCACAGGAAAGGTGCAGTCCAGGTGTGTAAGCTAGGTAATATTCAAGAGGGCAGAAAAGCAGTACTGCTTCATTCAGCACACACAGAGTGATGCTAGGGAAACCATCTGTCTCTGAAACCAACAGGAGTCTCTAATCTGTGTGTGCAACATATTTTATGCAATGCAAAACATGTTGCACACAGAATCCACAGTACATATTAAATCTATTAATCTTGATTTTACGTGTGTAGATCGCTTGAATATAAGCTAGCATCACTTTTAGGTATAAGTACTTTATACAGAAGAGAAGGAGTAGTGATTAGTCTGTTGTTGGCATTCTGCAAGGCTTCACTAGTCAAGACTAGAATCCAGACCTGAGCAAGGGGATCCATTCAGATGGTTGGCGTGAATGTATGAAGCATTGAATGTTTCCTTGGAAAGCGATGTTTTCACTGTCCTCTGAGGATGCATGATGCCAGCTTGACCAGAGCATACCGCTAAATAACCAAAGCTGCTTCAGGACCCTTTGCTCGCCGTCCTTGGTCAGTTAGGCTCTACTAGATGCCACATACTACATTTTAAAGATGAGTTGTTCTAAAGCACTTCTGAATCTTTAGCCATGGAGAAGCAGTCTGGGTTTGGTATGTACAACAGTAATAAAGGAAAAAAAAGGACAAGTCCAGAGGTTGTCACTGAAGGCTACTGGTTGTTTCAAACAGACTGAGGTGGAGATCAAATGATGACAGTCTCTATGTGAAAGGCATGTGAGTAAGTAAAAGGCGAAGTGTGTTTCTGGAGGCGGAAGGACGAAGGCACAATGGGCGTGGTAGAGGGGGACGAGGAGGAGGAGGAGGAGGAGGAAGAAGTGGGGGAGCGGTTGGCCCATCGGGAGGGGAGACGTCGATTGGCTGGACGGGCAGGCCTTGAGAAGTGCTTCTGGATGGAGGAAGAGGAGACCAAAGACTCTTTGTTGTCCTGTAGAGAAATAAATGAATTAACATTTAAGATTATCAAGATGTTCTGTCAGCAGTCAAATTCAGGCACACAGGTACTTTACATTTTTTTCACGTGTTCCATCTGTAGTCTTCTTGACCCTAGGGAAAACAATAGGTACATTTCAAATAGAAACACAAATAAATTCAGCATGCTTATGAGAAAAGGTAGATCCCATTTCTTTTGGTCAAGAGGAGAACATTTAAACTACAATACTTTCCATGGTTCTGCTGCCACTTGCCAGCACTTCAGAATCACCTAATTAGATTTTGGACAGTAATCCTCAGTTGAGGCTAAACTAAAGTGGTGTGTCTAATTACATTGGTGAGGTCAAATTAAAGTAAGTTGATCATCTCTCCTGCAATTTCTTTAACATTTGCATGACTTTAAAGCAGCATAATCACTTTGACTTTCCCATTTTCATGGTCTGCCAAGGGCATTTAGTCAGCTGGCTTTTTGCAGATACTTCTGTAATTACAACACAAAGGCCAGGAAAAACACTTCCACTACGAGGCCCATGAAAAGACTGTAGTATAAAAGAGAAGTTGGTGAGGATGACAGACCTCCTGCCAAGATTAAACCTTATATGCTATACCACCCATTCCTTTTGTTAGAAGCCTTTAAGCAATGGGCTGAACCAGATGCCATGATTATAATGCAAGCTTTAGTTTGCTTCTGTCTCATAGCACCTACCAGAAATAAACAATAATCCCTCCAGAGCTGTCCTCAGTCAAGGGCAAGCTTAGCATTTCATAGTGAAAAGGAATGTATTGTGCAGGTTCAGTCAGGTCCATTGGAACTGGCCTTAAATTAAATATACTTCAGTCAAAACAAAATGCAGACTTACATACTTTATTTCAAGACAATGTTTCTAATGTGAATACAGACTATATATATATCAGACTCTACCCACCTGCACAATAAGCTGGATCCCTTTTCCACCCATGGCATTGTGACTGCTGAGCTGAGCATGTGTGGAGTGTGATGTGTGTGACATCTGTTTGTGTCTCAGAGCAGTAGGTAAGGGCAGAGGGTCCATGTCCAACATGCTCAGCTCTGTGACATTGTCTTCCTGCCTAACGTTGAGTTTAGGACTTGGAGTCGTCTCATTCTGTTGGCTCTGGTTCTGTTGAGCCCGAGCTGCACTCTCATAATTTTTCAGAATCCTTTCCACTGCCCCGTAGTTAGATCTGGATCCCTCAGGACGTGGGTATGCAGCCAGAGTGAGAGGCTTCCAGGGGTGGTCATTCATCATTCGAGGCCCAGGCCTAGAGAAGTCAGGCTGCAAAGGAGGAACAGAAACATGCCTTGGCTGTGCCTGATGCCCTGGCTCTGTCATCTGTCTCTGTTTGTTCTCAGCAGACAGCTGATGGAGTGAGACACCCATTCTGGCTGGCTGAGGCTCTGTTTCATTCTTAGCGCTGGAACCATCCACATTCTGACCTGGCTGGGTATTTGGAGGGAAGAGAGGCTCAGAAATGAGAGCCTCTGTGGCTGCTCTCTCTTGTGTTTTAATGGAGGGACTCGTTGTGGCTTGAACTATGTGCCCGACCTCAAAGTGGTGTGTAGGACCCTGAGAAGATGTTGCGTTGGCCTCCCTGAGTCTAACCAGTGGCTGTTCAGGCAAACGTTCAAAAGGGATTTCTTGATTCATTCTGACCTCTTGACCTTCAGGACCACATGTCATTCGCCTTGATTGGTTTTCAGGGTTGTGACTTGTGGAGAGCTCGGGATGCATAACAACATCGCTAGTGGTGACATCAGCGCAATGTGGCTGAAATTTAGTCTCCCTGGAAGGTAAAATGCCATCTGATGCTGTATGCACTGGTTGGCAACCCACAGTGATAGTAACACTGCTTTGTTCCTCTACCCCATGACCCCTCTCAGCTTGAAACAAAGCTCTGTTGAACTCAGCTGTTTTTTGTTCCAGCATGATGTTTTTTCTGGAGTCCTGGAGGTTAGGGCTGGCAGGTGGTAAACCTACAGGGAATTCTTTGACAACCAGAGGTGTCTGTAGTTCTGGTCTCTTTAAGTATTCAACACCAGGACTGTAATCTGAGTGCAAGGCTTTCCCAGCACTCAGTATGTTGACTTCAGAAAAGCTTTTCCGTACTGTCCCATTTGTAGACAACTTACTGCTACTGAGCTTGCCTGTATCACAGGACCAGTGGTCGTGGCAGCAGCCCATATTACACTTAGGGTTAGCAGGTACAGAGCATGATGCCAGCACACCATCTATGAAAACCTTTCCTTCATTTTCTTGTAACATAGCTTCAAACTTCCTGACAATGGATGGGCTGCTACACTTTCTGTCCAATAGAACACAAGGGCTATGGCACTTCCTCACTGTCATCACAGGGGATTCTGGGATGTGGAGTTCTGTGTCTGGATGAGTCGAAGTGCTCAGATTCCAGGAGGAGGTGCGAGGAGGAATGGGTGGAGCAGCTGTATCAATGTCAGAAAGTATTCCGGGGCATGTTTGTGTGCCTGGATCAGTGGCACTCATTCTCCAGGATTCACTCTGCTCTCTGTTGCCTCGCCAGGTGTTATCTGGTGACAAGTTGATCCAGGCTTCCCTCTCCAAGGCCTGGAGGTCATTGTAGATCTGGCTGAGGTCACAGGGAGTTTCATTCTCAGGAGGTGGATAAAGCTGCCTGAAGCAAATTAAATGACATTGAGATTATGTATACAAACACAGTCACGCCTCTGCTTGTTGTGATAGTCATAGTTCTATGTTGGTGCCAGGAAGTTTACATAGCAATGGAGATTTACTGACCTCTTATCTTCGCTCTTCTTTCTGATCTCATACTGGTAGCTACAAAGCTCCTCGCTTACACGGGCTATCTCCTTTAGAGCCTGAGAAACAGACACTATTAGATATGTTGGACACTATTGACTTCTGGAGTACTGTACAAACAAAATGACAAAGACAGGGATAGAGGAGGGAGAACTGGAACACTGATGATCAAACTAGAAGTATTTGATGGCAGAGCAAAGAACCAAAGACAAAGCAAGCAAAAAAAAACACACCAAGGTAACTTTATTGTATATGAATATAGTGTTTTTTGATTTGAAACACTTACAGCATTAAGAGCAGTGGTGTTCTTCTTCTTGTCGCTGCCATAACTCAGCTCTGCACAAAGAGGACTTTCTTGTGGACCAACTTCAACACTCTTTTCATTCCGCTTAGAGCGATTTGTCTGTGGCACTCCACATCCAGGGGCTCCATGAAAAATTGCTTCCAACTCTGTTGTAGGTCCAGTTTCTTTACTATCAGTGACTTGCTGCCAAGTACCTCCGATTCTCAATTCATCCACCATTTCAGGTCTGGAATGGCCACAGAGGCTATCTGCTTGGAAACAATTGGACTGGTGGCCATCACTGCCACCACAACAACCACCACCACTGATGTTTCTGTTGTGACCAAAGCCAGGTAAGGGTGGGTGTCTCTTTGGTTCTGATTGACTGCTGCTGCTGAGCAGCACAGAGTGGGAGTTTTCACTGAGCAGACTGGAGCCTGAGCTGGTAGAGTGTATGCTCAGCCTGTGCACAACATTATCATCAACCTGCCTTCCACTGTCCAGTCCAGTCCCCTCACGATTGGCCCTCACTTCACAGTACAGCTAGAAGTAGGAGGAAGAAATAGGGATCATCATTTTTCAGCTTTACTGCAACTTTTATGTTGAATGTAGCAAACATTGTATTTCTATCTTTTTTTTGGAACATGTCCTTTAAAGATGAATTTCAGGACGAAATTTTGAATTAATTTATCAAAAGCTAATATTACATGAAATAAATCAATTCTATCAGTCAAAAACACCAAATGTAAAAAAAAAACTATTACATGTGCTCCTTTATTATTTTAGGGCGGCACGGTGGGGCAGTGGTTAGCACTGTTGCTGTGAGGCAACAAGGTTCTGAGTTCAAGCCCTTGTTTGTCTCTGAGTATCAGCCCTGTGATAGACTGGTGACCTGTCCAAGGTGGACCCTGCCTCTTGCTCCAGCCCCCTCCCTCCGAAAACCTCCTCAAGATAAGTGGTATAGATCATGTGTGTAACACTGATAATATGTAAATGGCATAATAACAGTACTACATAATCATAAACTAATGTGGAATCAGGAGTCAGGCCAGACAGCTTAATAGCAAAGTTTATGATTAAAACATTCAAAGAATTCTTTTAAATAAAATTGAATAACGGCTTGCCTCCTACCATGGGATCTTAAAACAGTCACTATTTCATGTTCACTGAGCTCTCTTCTCATCACGTAATGTCTAGAAGGGTCTTTTAGCTTGCTTTTACTCCTCTACTGTTTCTCGCTCTCATTTTCTAGTCCCTGAGGGTCAAATGAGAGCCATATGTTCTTTTCATAGCAAATTGTTCCAGTGCCTTCACACTCTGTACCACTACTTGTGAAAGGTTTCCCTCATTAAATGGTAAATGGTAAATGGTCTTATACTTGTATAGTCTTTTCTACACTTTACAGTACACTCAAAGCTCTTTCAGACTAATAAAGAGCCCATGGCATGCTTTTCCTTGTTTTTTGACTTATCTACAATGTTACAACAGTGAATTATCATCTTAGACATGACTTTAAGCTCAAAAAATTTGGTATTTGTATGTTCTAGCACTTCTATGCACAGGCAACTCGGTTTATACACATCTCGCAAACTCTCACTCACGGGAAAAATACAGGGCTACATACAATACTGCTTGTCCAGGAATGTTCATGTACAGGGACTTGTTGTTTTACCTGACTAACCTACAAGCAGCCGGCCTGTGAAGCCCCCAGCAGCGGTGAATGATCACCTCATCTATACTGGATTCCCGCAGAGCACAGTACTTGTTTGTTTTGACTGCTTGAGGCCCGTGTGTCTTCCGCATGTGATGTGTTGCTGGTTAAGGAATAGATTTACGACCTGTGATGTTTTTGTCGGCAGTACACTACCTGTTGGAATTAATTTCACTACTTTGAGACTGTATGTGGCGGTGTGGAGGAAGACCCAGAGACCACCGATTGGATTTACCAACCTTGGAGCTACTTGAAAGGGAGAGATGTTTCCACTACTCGGTGGGACTTAACGGTAAGTTTTAAAAAAAACACACGTTGTCTGTTAATGCCTTGTTTCTCTAAGGTTAGAGAGAATTGTTGCAAGGCTGGAGAAGTTACTATGTGTGCATTATGCCAGTTAAAATATGGGGTTTCTCAATTACCCGCTTTGTTTAGAGTGTTATACATCTCTTTTCATCGGCATATATATCATTATTTACCTTTCTTTGGAGGAAAAAATCAAATTAATCAGTGCCGTTATGGTTCATTGTCTACAATGGATTGGCGACCTGTCTTCGGCCGATTGCCAACCGGCACTGAAGCTAACATTTTTGTTTCATTATAAAGTAAATACATTCTGGACAATAAGCTAACTTATTTTTTCCATCCATCCATCCATTTTCCTCCGCTTATCCGGGACCGGGTCGCGGGGGCAGCAGTGTAAGCAAAGATGCCCAGACTTCCCTCTCTCCAGACACTTCCTCCAGCTCCTCCGTGGGGATGCCGAGGCATTC